ATGATATATATTTTGCTTAATTTCCAGTTACTGCAACAGTTGAAGAAAATGACAGATCTAAGCCATTAGTGCATGCTCCGTTACTGATTTAGTATTATATGGACATGCACAAAAATATAATAAAATGCATCCTATGATATTATATAAACATCACATTAAAATCAAAGCTCCCATGGAGTAATATGTGACAAGAAATAACATTTATATAAAAGTTCCACAATTCTGCCGACATAAAAGTAGAGAAATAACTGAGCAAAATATAGACACGTCAGACTGTTTTCATGTCTGTGACCTTTTTACTGGTCCTCATTTAGTCAGAGGCCTCAAATTAACCTTCATTAACAGAGAATAGGTGTCTGTGTGCGTATGTGTGTGTGTGTGTGTGTGTGAATCTTACATGACCCAGGCTAATTTGTGAAAGTCCAGAGACAACACTGAATAGAGCAGTGCTCCTTGAACTAGTATTCCTCAGACTGTCTGTGTGTTTGTGTTTGCTCATGAGCATGTGTGTGCATATCTGAGTAACAGTGTGTGTGGTGCACCCGTCTGTGCTGAAGGAGAGAAGCCTATTGATTATTTTAATCCTCCTATTTGTGAGTCTGTGATCCTCTCGGCTCAGCCTTCCACAGGGGGATTGCTAATGGGGCTGAACGCTTCCCTCCTCAGCCCTCTCTCCCTGTCCAATTAACTTAATGCTGGAATCTGCGAGGAGGGAGCACTGGGACCTGGGTGGGGTGGGGGGCACTGCTGAGCTACAACCCCACTGACTCCCCTCAGTCTCCCAAACCTCTCTTTTGCACCACATTCAGCAAGAACGCCCTCATCCAGAATAGTATTACCTCTCACCTTTAATTAAAGATCTATCTCCATGTTTTTTATTCTGGTGAGGTGAGAACTCCTTTCAGCCAGTGTTTCATTTTCACATGGTGGCTTTGCAGAGGGTAGAAGCAGCATCGGGTGCAGAAACAAGTCTTATTATAGCAACATTACTTTCAAACAGTTTGCTGTAGCTGTAATTTTGCTTGATCTCACATATTTCAATATGTATTTGTCTAACGAGTATTTGTGTTGAGCTCTGCCCTGAAGTTGAATTTAGTCAGACAAACTTTTTTTTCATAAAACTGATAATAAAACTGAAACATAGGCTATAGGGGGTGTCCACTAAGTCACAAGGCATTGTTTCATGCAATTTAAAATTATTCACAGACTCCACTTTTCTGAGTATAAATCAGTCCAATATAATCCGATATTTGGGAAGGACCATAAGGACGTGTTACACCCCAGACTGCTGAGGTTTTTGTGTCTTACTGACATTGATAAATATTGATAAAAGCTAGATTGTCAACAATTATTGTTGATGTGTTTCAGGAACTTTACAAACTCTTACAACCCAAGATCTTTTTTAATTATTAGCCATGCTAGTGGTGTGGCTCTGTGGGTGGCAGTATCGGTCTGATTTGAATATCTTAGCAACTGCTGGATGGACTGCAACAGATTTTTTACCAAAATTTAATTTGTACTTTATGACCAAATACTTACAAAACAACAAGTGGCTGTAGTTTGTGTTTGGTGTTAATCAATGTTATCATGCTGTGTTATGAACTAAGATGAACATGGTAAACATTATACCTGCTTATATCATGTTGCCATTGTGAGCATGTTAGCATGCTGATGTTAGCATTTGGCTCAACGTACACCTGTGCTTTATATCAGTATAGTGTTTGACTGACTGATTTATGATCAGACCACCCAATACTTACTTTGGGATATGATGTTTTTTCCCACTTTTTTCCCATTTTGTTATGTTGCAGCCTTACGTTAAATCATTTCAATTGATTTTTCCCTCATCAGTCTACAGCTAATGATGACAAAGTGAAATCAGAATTTTATAAATTTTTGCAAATTTGTTATAAAGGAAAAACTGAAATATCATATTGAGATAAGTATTCAGTCCCTCTGCTATGACACTTGAAATTTAGCTCAGGTTACTCCCATTTCTCTTGATCATCTTTGAGATGTTTCTACACCTATAGACTGGAGTCCAGCTATGGTATATTCAGTTGCACTGATATGATATGGAAAGGCACACAGCAGTCTATATAAGGTCTCACGGCTTACAATGTATATCAGAGCAAAAACCAAGCCATGACTTAAACCCAAATGAACATTTGTGGAGATAACTGAAAATGGCTGCCCTCCGACGGTCCCCATCCAACCTGACAGATGTCGAGAGGATCTGTAGAGAAGAATGGCAGAACATCCCCAAAGCCAGATGTGCAAATCCTGTTGCGTCATACCCAAGAAGACTGTAATCTCTGCCAATTTGCTTCAAATCAGTACTGAGTTGACGGTCTGAATACTGATGTCAGAGATTGTACAGGTGTGTCTGATAAAGTGGCCACTGAGCATATTATTCTGTATCAATGGAGCAACACCAGGGGTATGGCAGGTAGGTTTTGTTGGCTCGTATTTCTAATTAGTGGATGAGCTTTTTTTATCTGTATTTTAATGAATATCTGATATCTGATAAATTTGTGTTGGACATAAATATTGCTAAAATATTGAGATTTTTGCAATCAAAAAAACACCATCAGCAATGGAAATTTATCACAACAGACGTCAACACCTGCGGAGTCCTTGTTTGAGTGTAACGTATAAGGAGAGAATAAAGAACAATAGGAATAAAGGATAAAGGAAGAGCTGGTTTTACTCTCACTCAGTGACATCAAAATAATCCTGAATTTTCGTTTTTTATTGTGTTTCATGGTCTTCAAGGGCAGAGAAAATTCTATGCTGATTTCATACATAACGAATACACACAACTCAGCTTGCAAAGTACAGTGACAACAATGAATCCTCACTGCTCGTGAACAAAGGTAACAGCGCCAGAAAACACACACAGTAGGATGCAGCATGGCACAGAGGTTATGTAAAGCCACTCAGCAGGAATGTCTGTGTATAATACACAACGTCAGGATGTTTCTTTTTCTCTTTTTTCTTTTTTTTCACAGCACAAGAATGACAAGTTGAATAGAAAGTTCACATCCAAATCTCATCAGGGTACAGTCATGCTATCAGGCCTCAGGGTCGTATCTGTGTCACTCAGGACAACAAAGTCTCTGCCGCACATTTTAACAAGTGTATTATTGGACCGACATGAAGCTCTCTTCTTCTAAAACTACAATAGATGTGTTCAAAGGAATTTTACATTTTACCCGTCTAAGCATAATATCATGAAAAAAATAGAATTGTTAAATATAATAATTTGGTTACATCAACATTTTTTATAATTTTTCTGGATGCAAATTTTGGAATTACACGGTCACATGCTTCTGTTGTTTATTCCCACTGGTGTTTCCCACCATACAGAATGAACCTCAGTCTCCATTTTGGGAGCTTTTATTTACAGCAGTGAGTCACCTCCAGCTATGTACAAAGATTCACAGTCAGTGTCCTCGGTTGGGATCTGCAATTTCATTAGGTGAGGAACAACATTTGCATGGACTTCCTGCGTTTTCGTCAGAAATCCTCGTCAGATTGCTGTTTGCATCACGTGGATCAGCTTGCTCATACAGCCCAGATTCAACAAGGGATACTGTCTCATGCATAAAAAATAGAAAATAAAATAGAAAATGTAAGGCACGGAAAATCTATAGGTATGATATATGGCAGTAAAACATCAACAACAGTCACCTGCATTTCAAAAACATCTTCACATGGGTACATTCACGGTAAAATTAAAAGAATAGTTTGACATTTTGGGAAACAGGCTTAATCATTTTCCTGCAGAGAGCTAGATGAGAAGACTGATATCACTCTCATGTCTGTACGGTAAACATGAAGCTGGGGCCAGCAAGTCAGTTAGCTTAGCTTAGCATAAAGACTAGAAACAGGGGGAACAGCTAGCCTTGCTCTGTCCATAGGTAACAAAACTTGCCTGCCAGCAAAACCACAAATTATTTCCCAAAATGTCTAACTGTTTTTTTGTTATATATATTTTCATATATTCACCATACTACCCGCCCTAGATGTTGGGTTTGAGTGTGACTGAGCAGGTGAGGCTGCAGAGGAAGCCTCAGCTCATTAGAAGGACATGATGAGACTCTGTCATAAGCTCTGGCTCAGGGAAAATCTCAAAGCTAAACCTCAATATCGATATACTGTGTGTGTTAAGGGACTGTTACCGACAACTTGACGCCCCTCCCATCCCCCTGTAACAGGAGTCAGAGATTGTGCAAGTCAAACTAACAGCAACGTGATGCCTTTTTACACCTCAACACAAACTGAAGAGTAAACACACACACACACACACACACACACACACATACACACACACACACACACATACACACACACACACACACATACACACACACACACACAGGCATGAACACCGACATACAGCACCACTGGATTATGATCGTGGTGTTGGCTGTATCATCAGTTGCAATCAATATATTCATGACTTTTCTGGTTTGGTGTCTACGGCCATATTGAAAATCCATCTCACAGTGAAGGCGAGAGGCTGCAGCCAAATACACACACTTCGATTTACAGTCGACATTCAGAGATCGTTTCAGTCGATTTCAGACTGAGATGGTCATCTTGTCTCGGTGTAACAACTGATAGGAGAAGTTCAGTTCATGTGTGCACGCCTGTGTGTGTGCGCATACAAGCCGATGTGTGCGTGTGAAACAGATGTTAATCGTGTGTTGTAGCCATGCTTACACATACTGTTCATGGCACAGGTGACACAAGTGTGTGTATCAGAAGTAAATGTTAACTGGTAGTATTTACAATACTATATTCATTTTTACACAAATTCAGTTCAAACTCTATTTGTTAACTGTGATCATGTTATTTTATGTTTTGTGTACTGAGCAGCATTGAGATGACAAATTACATTATGGCAGCATGGCGTGTTAGGTGCAGAATGGAGAGGAGACTTTTTGCTTGATTACAGAGAGAGAGGGGGAGAGTATATAAATGTGAGTATACTGTCAGTCAGGGTAGATGAGGAAGCCAGAGAAGGTGCTGTATTTGTTGGTGTTTCCCCCGTGAACTTTGCCGCCGTCCAGTTGTACACACACTTCGTCCCCCACGTCCAGGTGCAGGATGACGCTGTTTGAGGCATAGTCGTAGTTCTGATCTGCATCTTGAGCGATTGCGCTGGCCCTCACCTGAGATAAAGACAAGAGATATGTTTGTAGGCTGCAAAGATGGAAAGCAATTTAAGTATTAGCCACAGGGAAAGCAGATAAACAATATCACGAGTCATGTGTTTATGTGGTTTTCGTGGTCTGTGTTGATGCTGCTGGACCACTGTGACTTATGGTCTTAACCTGGCATCTTAACCCTTGAGCCACAGAGGCATCCCATGTGTTATGCTGATATTATATCTTTAATTCTGACAATTTCACACCATATTAGACAAGGATTTGATCCTTCTGTTTTAGTCTAGACTGAGTATACAGCAGTACAGAATTTGATGAGAAAATGCAACTCCACACTTTCTGATTCATACAAACTGTGTAATTAGTCTGGAGTTCAAGGTAGAGCTGCGGCACATTTTACAGAAAAGAGGCAGAGGAAGAGGTTGAGAGCTGGATAAGGTTGGACAGAGGAGGAATGGGTATTAAGTCTTATTTTTAAATTTGTGATGGTGAAATGACTTTTTCAAACAATATATCTTAAAAATCATGCTGCATCTCAAACTTACAATAATATGTCTATATTTATAGATTATCTTAATTTTTAATATTCAACGTAAATTGTTCTTTTTCTTGACATTGTTTGGAATTTTGCAATAAAAATGAAATTCATATAAATAGATATGATAAGAAAAATAAATGAATCACAGCTTTTTCAAATGGCTTGATCAAGAACATACATTACTGTGTATTGGACGTGTATTGGGCAAACAAATTTATTGGTCTCAAATAGCTGTACATACAAATCTGTTCCCACAATCCTCTCTTCTCTTATTTAAATCACTGCTCCTTTCTTATAGCCCCAAAACATTAATTATCACCTGCAGTTGAGACATGTTTCACCACGATCATCTAAAAGTTAATGATGGCAGAAATATGCATATCTATGGTCTACATGAAGAAAGCAAGTATAATGCAATCCAGTGATGTTCAATGCACATAAATGGTAAAATCCCAAATATTACCAGATTAATTAATCAGAATAATCCTAGTAATAACCGACCATGTGACATGTTTTATATATAAAGGCTGATGATTCTAATAGGTTTATCTTTTTCATCTGTTCACTTTATCTGGATGTAACCGGTGCCATTTTATTTCCTGTTTCACTCTGTGATCTCGGTGTAATGTCATCAGTACAGATGCCTTCCTGTCCACTGGGTAGATAGATGAGATGTGCAGTGATCTTTGGCCTCAAACCTCCATCTGCGGGCACAACCTTTCTTAGTCGCTATCAATTTTTCCAGAGGATTGTTGATCTCACACCTGATCCACCTGTTGCAGAGAGGAGTCTGATAGGGATTGCTAGGGTGGTATCAGGGAAGACATAAGTTCATTTTTCAAGCAATTATAACAAATATAGTGAATGCACACACATACGCATATTGACTGCTGATATATGGACATGGACTGATTAAGTTGTTAGTTTTTACAGTTTCAGTTATTAGTTAGTTATTATTATTTCACTGGTATTCAGCTTTGCAAAGCCATGTTACACTTGTATATACAGTATGCATACAATGGTTAAAGACCTTCAGTTATATCAGCGAGCTGTGAACATAAAACAGATTTATTATCAACTTTTAAGTTCATAAGACAAATTTTTTGCATACAGTTGCCATTGAGTTACACATTATGCTTTCACTCGGAGTCATGTTTCTGTCCACCAGATGAATGTAAGTCCAATATTTTCTCTTCTTTTGGTTCCGCTTTTGGTCTTAACCACATACTGTATTTAAGATACATAGCCACATACATAGACATATCCTCTGTGACGTAGCCCATGGGTTTCTGAAGAGCGGTTTTGAAGCCCTGAGTGGGCTGCTCAAAGAGGAGGCATGTGTGGTGCTGCGACTTGTTGCATGCCGGTTTGTGGCAAGTAGATATGCTCACCCACCTGTCAGTCAAAGCGGCACGCCCTCGATTATGCATAACTTTAAGCCTTTTTAAATAGGTGAATTATATAAAACCAACCAGCCTCTAGTGGCCATTCTTTGGTGTTGGCTTCATTTTTCAGCCCTGGAGGTTGCTGCTTGGTCTAACTACCTCCTGGCTGCTAAATGCTCCACTATGCTCACCAGCTAGTCACTAGGAGTGTAAAAGTAAAGTAAAAACCAAAACAATGAGCTGAAAGGCTCAAAAGTGCTTTGCACTGTTGAGGGGAGCTACAGAGTTTCACATTACATACAATCATTTGAGCAATTGTTTTTAGAAAGATATTGATTCATTATAGCAGCTTTAATTATGAAGAATCTAAATTACATTTACAGGGTGTGAGTCAGTGGCTCATGTCAAGCTGAATTCCAGTTAGCATTTTAAACAGATTTGACAAACATCATCATTATATTTGATTTTTCAAACAAACATGAGAAAACTAAAGAGTTCCAAAGAAACAGAGACTACAGGAAATGCAATCAACTGAACTGAAATCTTTTTGAAATAAAAAAAACAACAAATATATTGAATGCTAAACATGGAAAAAGATGAACAGAAACCATGCTTTAGCCTCAAAATTACCAAATGATGTAAACAACACCCCTACAACACAGTTACCACAAGACCTTGACATTATATATACATTATATATACATTCATAAAACTGGCATTAATGGCTGCCATCCAGCAATTGCTGGTATTCACAGCCGACACAGTAGGATGCATTAGCTGGTGTGAGGACTACAGAACCTGGAGCAATTCCACAATTTTAAAAAGTGGTACGGTCTGATGAGTCATTCTTCACAATTTTATCTGCATCTGGACAGGTTTATGTTGGGAGGAACGCACTCTGATTAAACATGATGCTGGGTCTGTAATGGTATGACCAGCCATTTAAAAGAAAGTCGTTCCATCTGACGATTACTGTACATGTTTACATACCAGAGAACAAATATCACACCTCTGAGTGAGGATCCAAGAATAATGCTCCCATACAAGTTGCAATTAAGAAGAGGTTTCATGAGGACCAGGATGAAGTCAAACACCTGCAGCAGCCTGCACAAGCACCAGATTTAATGTCATGTTACTCCCATCCTCATGTAATTGGAGTTCTTTTTCTAGACACTCCTAGTATCCCAGGATTTAATTGAGCACACTCCAAGGTGAGAAAACAGCTGATTGGATGAAGAGTAGTGCATCCCAGGTAATTATCTATTATTAATTATATAATGATTATATAATTATATTATTTTGTCCATTGTCATTCTAAGATCCAAGTCCAAAGTTGTTTTCGCAGCCAGCGAGCAAATCTCCTCATAATAAATTGTACCATCATTGGGTAAGTAACCGACTATTCATGCAGACGATCCATTTAATAGTAGAAAACAAAGTACACAAGCGCATACATATTAATGAATGCAAATATGATACCCTCACTCCATCCTTGTCTTCTGCTCTGGGTCTGGGTCTGACTAAGGATATGGTCCATCATCTCCACCAGTCATCAAGCCTCCCTGGCTGCCTTGTGATCGCTAAGACAAATAAAATGAGACTAAAAAACCCATTTCCTCTCATCCTCCATCAAATAATGAGTTCCTTTCTTCCTTTTTTTTTTGGAATCTTACAATTATCAATTTGACTCACTGCATTTCTCTATACAAGCATTTCTTCCATGTAGAAAAGGTGAACATTTTTATTCTGCTCCTTGAGACAGAAATTAATCGATACATTTCCTTTGTTTTAATTCAACTCACATCACTCCATTAATTGTTGTCTCTCCCTCCACACCTCACGCCCCTTCCATCATCCCTCCCCCATTCTCCACCCCATCTCTATCTCTTCATTCTGCACCCATCTATCCATCTTTTTGTGTCCTTACACTCCAATGAGATGCAGGTCACGCACACATTTTCTCTCCCCCACCATGGCAGTGTTGGCGGGAGCAGCAACTAAGTGTGTCCCTGTCCGGCCTAAATCGGATTGATTAACGGCATGCTGCTGTGGCAGGTCTCCTGAGGACCCTCCTCAACCCCCACCCACCCCCCTCTTGCCTCCTTCCCCATCCCCTCCTCACAACATCCCTCACCCCTCCCTGCCGCCAGATGCGTCAGGGCAGGCTATACATGGCTGCAGGCTACGGTAATTGGTAGTCGGACAGCCATGGCAGCTCCTCGCCTAATAGGTCCAACTCCTCAATAACTCCATACAATCACAATAAATAGGGGCACAGGATAGGCTACAGTGGTCAAATGGGCCCATGAAATACTAGCAGGAGGTCAGGATAAGATCCTGAGCAAACACACACACACACACACGCACACACACACACACACAAGAGAAAAGAGAACACACACTCCAGGTCTTTCCACATCTCGATAAGAGCAGTTCTCTTTCCTCTTTGTTTTTTTATGAATCTCAAGTGAACACCTGAGAAAAAACTACACAGCATATAGGACATTTTGTTATTTTATACTGTTAAGACTGCTCTGCACTGAAGGGACTGCACAGCTCCCCTGAGGAGACCTAATAGGTTTTCGGAAAAATATAACAGCAAAGAGAATCTGACATCTTGTACATCCAACATCTGTCTACATGGTTGAACGGCATGATTCCCCTGACAATATTTTCAGCTGAGTTAGAAGCTGACAGGCTGCTGTAACTTGCTAAGAGTACAGTATAGGATTACAATTAAAACTGGTTTACCTCTCTATGTGTGCAAGGACAACTCTATCACAAGCCCTCATTTTATAATAGCTCATCACGCTGCTGGGTTCTTCCTACCTGAATCGCCCACGTTTAAGGGTCATAACAAAAGTTGCCGCAGTGATATTCACACCATGTCATTGAAATGGCCTTTTAAACATGAACATCAGCTAATTATATTTGCCAGCCAAAAGGACACAATGTTATTTATGGCTTTTTATGGTTGACGTCCTTATGAGACACACAGGTTTACTTCGCCTCGACTCAGACAGTGTGAAGATGCTGACATTTAATGTCTTACATTTATGATTAATTCTTGGTTACATTCTCCT